ACCATACACAACATCATTCCCACAAAACAAGAGAGCATGATGAATAAACAGCTCACCATTGTCCAGAATCAGAAAGCTTATTTGAAGCCAGTCATGGGGTGGAAAATTTAAATAGTAATTGATGAATTCTTAGAAATTCAGTGTGGGAAGCTTGAGAAGTAAAACTATCTTTAGCTGCATTTCCTCATTTGACTTTTTTTACTTTTGCTATCTGTGCTTTTGAAGTCTTCTCCAAAAATACTTTTGCCCAATCCAATAACCTGGAGTATTTCTCATGTATTTGCTTCTATTGGTTCCATAATTTCTGTTATGATTTTGGGGTTTCATCTATTTGGGGCTAATATTATTTACTCTAGCATGTAGGAGTCTAGGTTCATTCACCAGCATGTGGATATCTAATTTTCCCAGCAACATATATTAAAAATCCTGTGCTATCTCCCTTGTTTACTGTTACTGTAAAAAATGATCTTATCAAATGATGAACATATAAGAAGCAAGGTTTATTTTCGGATAAGAGTTTCCTAGGTTTCAGTCCATTTTCAGTAGGCATAGCTGTGGTGCCTGTGCTGAGGCAGTAAATTAGGGCAGGGGACGTTCTGGATGGCGCTCTTTACCTCATGGCAGCTGGGAAGCAGGGAGAGGGAGGAGGAGACCAGCATCCCACAGTCCCCTTCAAGGCCGCTCCTCCAAGGACCTCAGACATCCCAGAATGACCCATCTCTGAAGTTTCCTCGCCTCTCAGTGACCCCACAGCTTGTGCACCAGGCCTTGAACCCATGAAGCTTTAGGAGACATTTTTGCAAACCATAGCAGATGAGTTGGCTGGAATTAGGCAGCAAGCTGAAGACAGGTTGTTGTTATGACATCTCCTCAGTTAAGTGAGGATAAGAAAAGCTTTGTAGAGCAGAAATTCTCCCAGGAGGATGAGATAGACACAATACAAATTTGATGTCTTTATGTGTAATAAGAAAAAAGAACCAAGGTCTGCATACATACGAAATTATGGACAGTGGAAATGCGTTGGAAAGTTGTTCAGAGATTCAAAATGAAAAATATTGTAATAATGAGACAAGCAGAACTGGAGGAAGAGATATATTGATGAACCTATGGGAAAAGGCACAGAATGTGCAGAAATGTGTACTATGTTTTAAGGCCCAAAGAGCACCCATGACCAAGAGGCACTGAAGAATGGAGACAGAAGGAGCCGACTGGGTGAGGTCTGCCAGCCTCTGTCACCCACAGCTTCAGTGCTGCACAGTGGCCTTATGTGTGGAGGAGCCCTGGTGGAAGGAATGCACGCTCTGGCTGAGTTCTCCAGCATGGGATCCCAGGCACCAAGGCTCATCCAGCTACTGCTGCCGCCTCATGTTTAACCTGCAGGGATCAGGACCAGTGCTGAATCCCCAGCATGACGCCATGCCTCATGGAGACAGCCCAGCTGTGTGTGGGTGATTATATCCCAGAGGGGCAGGGATTCTTCTCTACTGGAAATTGTGCACCTGTCAAGTATGGGTTTGACTACTTGCCTGTAGTGCAGTATCTGGAACTATTAACAGAATCCTTCAAAGGAGCTGGATTCATGAATTCAGGATATTTCCTATGATCTCTTGAGCCCTAGCACAACATAGAGCAAGACATTATCTCACATTATCTCTCAGTGCTTCCACTTCCCTCTATTCCTAACTCCAAAAGGCCCTTACCTACCTGTACAAAGTGAGATGGCTATTTGAGGTCCTGTCTTAGGCTGAGCAGGTGGTATTAAGGACATAGAAAGCATAATGCTCCAAACTGAGCATGCTGAGGCCAGGTCCAGGAGAGGGTGGGCCAATTCAGTCACCACTGGGATTTGGGCAATTTTGGCCACTACCTGATATTCACATTGGAGACGACATCACAGGTGTTATGGGATTGACAGATGTGATCAGGAGCCTGAAGGGTGAGGGTGGCATGAAGAAAACCCTGTAGTCAGCATCTGGGGGGCGGCTCCTGCCCAGGGCCTTCCAAGTTCAGAATCAGATTGCTCCTGTCACAGGCAGAAGACGCATTGTTCAAACTCTTTGGTGAGGAAACAGAGAGGTCTGGGTCTGTGTGGACAGGGTGTGATGATTAATCCAGTTTCTCTTGCTGCCCCTCCTATACAAATGACTCTAATAAATAACTAATGGGTCTTCTAGTATTTCAGTGGCACAGAACATTCTTATGACCTTTCCTAAGTACAAGTGGAACATAAAGCTCCCTGTTCTAGAAAAGAGGGGAAGCCAAGCTGTGTGTGGATGAGGACTTGTAGTGCCACAATAAGTAGTCACATAGTAGATGCTCAACCAGAATCAACAAATATGGTTTGTTAAAGTAAAATTCTCTTCCTTTCTGGGAAGACTTTTTGAGAAAGTAAGATGGGCCTTGAAATTCTCCAGTCTTTACAAGTGCCACCTACTATGTGACAGAGGTTTCAGATACAGAATCAGTCTAACTTGCATGTTATTCTAAAAATATTAGCAGGACGGGTTTTTGTACTTCATTCACTAACACTTGTGTGTACCTCCCTTCAAAATAACCTCTAATCTTAGCAGGGTGAGTATTTTCTCCTGTCTTTGGATTTTGGCCAGTCTGCTAACCTGTGAATTATTCCTACGGCACACATGACTGTCCTTGTCTCAATATCAGGACAAGAGTGAATAGGCAGATTGCAAACCAGGATTTCCCTATGGGGAGGAACTCAGACTAGAGATATGATAAAGAGGGTGTTTTTTAATTTTTATTTTTAAGATCAACAAAAAGCACTGGCCACCTACTCAGAGGACTTCAGGGTTTGGAGTAATACAGCTACAGTAGATGTTTTTCTTTCCAATACTGTGGTGAGCATGGTCCTGCCTCACCTACAGCTTCTCAGGGAGCTTTGGGGTTTGACCACCTTAATAAGCTCATGTACCTGCACATGTATTATGTGGACATTTTCTAGTAACTCATTCCATTAATATCCTACAAAAATGTCAAGATGGCCTCAAAGACTGTCCTAATTTATCTGCCAAGACAAGGAGTAGATTAAGCTGCATGTCAAACTCCTTATCTCCCGTTTGGGAAAGCTTGAGAGTGTGTTAATTTGCTTCTCAGGCACAGAACCCAGGGTCTAAGCCTCACAGTCCAAGGATAACTTTTATGTCAAAAAGGTCTGTTGCTATTGGAGGGTTTCCATGGTGAGCAAAGTGACAGCCAGGGCCTTCTACATGCCGTGGGCGAGGGCAGGTGACTCTGGGCATTTCCCTGGGAGTAGTGTGCACCCATCGCCCGCTCATTTTACATTCTTAATTCAGGCCAGGTGAGTGCCTTGGACATGGGGACTTTCTGCACCCTGAGAGGTATTTTTATTTCTCTGAGTACAGAATTGAACTCAGAAATAGAGCCAGGTTCAGGCTGGGAGGAGTGGGAACAGGGTGGCCTCTAGATGACCTCACACTGAGAGTCCAGTCCTGGCCTTGTCATTTGCCACACAGGGATCCTGAGAAGCTCCCAAGCCCAGCAGGCCTCAGGTTCTTCATCTATAAAATGGGTTTGACACATGTTTGATTGTAGGACCAGTATAATGTAACAAATGTATTGAAGCACCTAGCAGGATATCTGACATATATTGAATTATTGGTGATAAGCCTCTAGTTCTACTATTATCTTAAGTTCACTCTTTTTCTGGCAAATTTGTGTGTTTCCCAGGGAAGGCTCATGACATTCGGAAACTAAATAGAAAGTCAGCCAAAAATGCTACTTAGTAAATGTTCCCCCAATATATTCTCTCCAATAGTATGTATTGTTTGATTCAATGTTGTGGAGTCTGTCCCTGCTGGGACCAACTAATTAAAAGCTCCGGAATTTGGGTAAAGAATCACATTCCTCTTCCTGTCAGCTACTCTTTCACTAGAACAACTATTTTCAACTATTTTCAATATCAACTTCACCAAAATTCTACCTTTGGGACTCATGATGTCTCTATGACAATGGGGCCTACAACCCTGCCAATTCTAGTGACAAGGTCAGCTCATCACAGATGCAGTTACATGAATGTTCAACCAAAATTACATACCCTGACAACACTAGCAGTGACTTCCTTCAGAAAGGAATAATTGAAAACTGGCCCAGACTGAGTCCTCATATAAGACAATGGAAGCCTATCTCAAAGTCCAAGAACAGTCTCTGGAGGTAGAACCTCTCGTTCAGGTAGTTATCTGGCCATTCATGAAACTGGGTGAATCCACTGGCCAGATACTGACGGCCACCTTGTAAGAGTGTTGAGGCAATCTGGACTCAGGAGGAGTTGTCCACAGGAAAGCAGTCAACGGGGGACTGTAAGACCCTGGAAAGTAGACATTCCCATCAGAGAAGAGAGTACCTGGTCAAAGACTTTAGGGCCTCGCTTCCCCTTAGAGTCCCCTTTATCTCTGAGGAAATCCTTCCAGATGCTCGCGGTAAGTCTCCTGGTTCCTTCCCTTTGTAGGAACATTCTTCTCATCGCTGTCCCAGGTGAGGATTCCTCTCAGCTTCATCAACCATCTAAAAATGTTGCACAGAGCGGTCTTCCATCCTCTCAGGCTTTTATCTCAGGCCCAGGACACCTCATCTGAGGGCCTGGCCCTGGCTGCATTGCAGCTGCATTAAATTAACTCATGAAGAAGGAACTGCAGTTACCCCAAGCCCCACACTGCCCTGGCTCAGCACTCACAAATGGCTGCTCTCTGCTAAACTCCACCCGCTCTGTGCTCTTTGTCATGTCTTTTAGGTCCTGGTAGACATCTCTCTTTCTCCTGACGCTGGTGGATCTCCTGAACTCCACCATCCCATGGGGTAGCCTGGATCCTGCTCAGTCTGGTTTACTCATGTTTCCACCACAGACACAGGGCCTCCCAAAGGACACACGTGAAATGAACTTTTGAGGGTTACTGTGCCCATGCACAGATTATGTTGTTTAACCACATTAAATTTCTCTGGTATAATTAAAGAAACCAAGCAAATTCATGTATAGATGCATTTTTAATAGTATAGATTAAAAAGGAAAAGGAAATAAGAAGTTGAGACTTGATTTTTTTTTTCTGAGACTTGATTTTTGTCCTCATTTTTTTTCTGGATTCCATCTAACTTGATGTAAACTTCTTACACATTTCTAAGGCAATTCCTATTCAAATTCTTTGGTATGTTTTTCAATATCGCAAATAAAATGAAAGGTTTCCATGTTGGTTTTACAGAAAATAAAGACTCTTACATTTGGAATGGAAGAGCAAAGTTCCTGTGTGATCAATATCAGACAAAATCATTTTCACACCAAGAATCACAATCAAGCATCAATATTACAAAAGTAAAAAGACACATGTGATTAGTATCATTCTTTAAATAAGATGTGCAAGCTATGTCAATCTTGGAAGAAAAAGAACAAGACTTCAAAAAATCATAAAGAAAACACACGTGCATTTCCAAGGAACCCAAATAGAACAGACATCAAGATGGTATGCAAAATATTTCTCCCATCTTCTTCTGGCTCTGCACTACTTATAAAGCTTACTGCTCTCCACAAACACAGTTGGAGAATTGGCCTTATTTCATGTGAGGATGGAGCTAAGCTAGTGATGTTGCTGTGGAGCACTCCTTGTCCCTAGCATTCACAGTGCCTTCTCAGTACCCCATAACTCATTCATGGCAGCCTGTAGCTCCTCTCTCAAAGCCTGTTCATACAGAATTGGGCAGGACCTGGGATTGATCTTATTAACCTTGGCCAAATGCTCCAGAACTTTCATCTTGCTGGTTTCAGCGTGAGCCCTTGGACCCCATAGGAACTCATAGTGAGCAGGATCACTATCGGGCACCTGCCGATACTCCAGGTACTGTTCCAGTACCAAATCCTCAGTGATGAATTTCCACCGGTCTGCAGTAAGAAAGTTGTCCCTTTTTGGTAACATCTCCCTCATTCTCAGGACTTCCCTTATGTCCTCCTCACTGACACGGTTGCCCTTTACGAAGATGACAGTCAAGATCACTATCAGGAGGTCGATTTTGGGAATAATCTGGTCATCACCTATTATCCCTTTATAAGTGAGCCCCAAGAGAGGGGCAAGGTCATATGTGTGGCCAGGGGAATTCCCCTTCCTCACATCAATGCCAAATCCAAGACACATGCACTCACAGACTTCTTTGAAGATCAGAGGGAAATCCTCACGGTAATTGTGGTCTACAATGTGCAACATTTCTGCCTTGGTGACCAGCTCTTTCGTTTGATACTTCAGGAGCAAAAACTGCACCAATTTAGCTGTCTTGTCATCTATGAACACACGTCGCAGGATCTGAGGGACTAACACATCCTGTGAGTTGCATGGATCCTCCTCTTCTTCACTGCTTGAGCTCTGGCTGGATAGGCTGCTTTGATTGGAATCCATAGTAGTGGCAGAGAGCAGACAGTCCTGAGGATTCTGGGGACAACTAGATGTCCCAGCCTGAGGCATTTAACTTCTTTAACTAGGATTTGAGCATAGGAGGAAAAGAAGCAGTGGCTACTACTTCCTTCACCTAAGGCTTTAGAACCTATGCCTCCACAAGGCCATGTGCTCCCCTTTGGTCAGGGTGGCCTCCTGGCTGTGCTATGGTGTGTCCTCTGACCGTGAAGATGAAGATTCAGATGCCTAGAAGAGAGAGAGACTGTGAGTGTACTCAGGTGAAAACAGCACTCTTGTCAGCTCCCATAAAAGCCCGATTCCAAGTCTTCTTTTTAAGTGGTGCCCTTGGGCCTCACAGGGTCCTGTCGTCTTGGACAATCTGTCCCCAAGATCCTGAGAGAGGAAGTGAGACTGCTTCTCAGGTTACAGTTGAACCATAGAATACAAGTCTCTAGGGCAAATAGTATGGCAAGTGGAGCCTGGGCACAAGGAGTTGCCTTTGTTCTTGGGTAGGTAAAACCCTAGGTATACATCAGGGTGTGCACTCTCCTTGACTCCTGACACTTTCTGGGCCTCTTCTGTTGTGTGACCTGTTGATACTGCCTCAGACCCAGACATAAACTGCCTGCTTTCTGAATCACCTATAAGAGGCATGGAGGGTCCCTTAAAGTTGTCACCTCCCTGAGTCCTCCCACCTGAAACTATTTAGAATTGTGAGCAATTCACATTCCGTCACCCTCACTGGGAACTCCATGCTGGTAATAGGGGAAGCCAGGTTCTATGGGATCCATTTTTATGGGTGTAGATTACCTTCGTACATTCAGTGCTGGAAAATGGTGATATGATAAGCAGCAGCAATTTGGACACTCCAATATTCAGAAGCCATACTCTGCAAAATCATAACTTGGGGAGGGAAATAAAAGGGAAAAAAGAGAAGTGTATCTCCAGGAATCCAGAAGGATCTTACAGGAAAATTAAAAATTACAGAGAAATTGAAGAGACAGTAAAAATACAGAGAAGGGAAATAACAGTCTGGAATTTCTCCTTGGCTCCTGTCTCATGGGGAAGGAGGCTGAATCTGTAGAACTGAAGTGAAACCTGGGAACTCCAAGAGACCCCAAAGAGAAAAAGCAGTGGTTCCATGGACTGGCAGTTGCTATGATCTGCAGAGACAGTGTGGAGTTATACTTCCACAGAATCCTTACAGCTGGTGAATGACCCCTGAGCAGGTGCCTGCCATGTCCATGGAGAGTGCCTCACCTTAGGTTCCATTCTGGGAAATGGTTGAGTGTTTGAACTTGGGTCTCAGAATAGCCATGGGACAGCTTCACTTCAGGGTTCCCAGAATTACACTCCCACAGTGACTGGATGAGAGACAGACTCTGAAAACTGATCTGGATAGGTGCGGGGCTGAAAGAGAACATATGAAGAGTTTGAATTCAGCTGGGAAAGGCACAGTCCCTACTTCCATTGGCCAGAAACCAGGCCCAACCTGAACTGCTCTGGATTTGAAAGTCTTGATAGTGGTTATTGGAGCCTGTGCCCTTTTTCCTGCATCCATCATGGATCTGGGGTCTGGCTGCCTTCCTTATCTGCCATTGTGAACAGGGACACATCTTGACTTGGACACAGTCACAGCCTGGGAAAAACAAAGGGGCCTCAGAAAAAATTGAGAATTGCTAAACTCCAAAATTCTGGATCCTGGACAGAAACTATTCATTCAAAATCAAAAGAAAAAATGTTCTTATTTTTTCTTATCTTTTTCTTACCTCTTATTTTCCCCTTCTTTTTCTTTTTAACTCTTCCTTACTTTTTTCTCCATATAAGTTCTTTACTTTTCTCCTTTTTATTTCTCCTATTTATTTCTCATCAGTATTTTGTTATCTTTACCTAACTCTATAAACATCCTTCTAGTCCTTAGTAGGATTCTTTGTCCAACTTCTCTTTCCTCCTTCTCATATTCTATAGTTTAAGCTTTCATATTTTTCTTCTTTCATTCCCAATTTCCAGCACCCTGTATCTTTAATAGTAAACCATTAAGCTTTGATATTAATATTGATATAATTAGTTAACTTTATACAATTATTGTTGAGTTTTTCTACCATTATCAGATCTATAACTGTTGCATTTAGTACATATTAGCAGCAGGTAAATATCTGAGTTCTTTTAATATGTGTTCTATAATTGTGGATTTCTATTCTATGGTTAAAGGTGGTACCTAATTGCTTATAATTGATTATTAATATAAAATTTCTTTTGGATGATGTTGCTGTAGATGATTTGCTTGACAATGCTAGGGTCATACAATTGTTGCCATTAAAGGGTTTCCTCTGTATGCCAATACCTAGATTACCTTTGTGACATTAACAATACTGGGGTACATTCCCAGAGATCTTGGTTTTGGGCTGTTTACACTGCATCTTCCCCTCTCAAAGTAACAGAGGTGATCAGATCTTAGGACAAAGGCAAAAATTAAAATTACCTACATCCAAAGTACATCACTGAAAGACTAATTAAACAGATAGCAGGAAAGTCTTTCCACTATAAATGCTACAAACTTCAGCACAAAAGAAACAATCAAACAAACAATAGGAACATGAGAAGATGAGGCAACAAAATGCCTTCCCAAATGCCCAACTCCCCCAGAACTAATTCAGAGGGCAACAACGGAAGAATAGTATAAGCCACACTCCCAAATTACTCAGAAGGATAATAACAGTTTAGAAAACATATCAAAGACATGTTTGGTATAATCACAGAAGATTTACTAAACAAGTAATGGAAGTAATAACCAAAATGATCAACTGCCTTTCAAAAGACATTAATAAGAACCTGGGTGAGCAAAAGTAAATGATACAAAGAATGAATGAACACTTTAGTAAATAATTAGATTCCATCAAAAGGTTTAATCACAAATCCAGGAGATTAAAAATTATGTTGAAATTATGAGCAGCAGAAGTGACCAATGTGAGTACAGAATTTCAAAATTAGAAGACAGGGATGCTTTCAAGATCAACTACTCAAAGTCACTTTAAAAGCAACAGAAGAACATGAAAAATTGATCCAACTGGTGTAATTTGATGCAAAGAAGATGAATCTCAGAGTAATTGGAATTAGTGAAAAATCCGAAGATAGCACAAACTGCATAAAAGTATGTTTACAGAAATAAGAGTAGAAAACTTCACAATATAAGGAAAGAAATAAATGTACAGATGAGTGAGGCATACAGAACTCCAAACAGCCATGACCAAAAGAGGACCTCTCCAAGTGACACTGCTGTCAGAATACTAGAAGTCCAACCCAGGAACAGAATCTTAATAGCTGTTAGAGAAAAGCAACAAATCATGTGTAAAGGTAAACCCACTAGAATAACTGCAGACACCTCAACACAAACTTTAAAGCACCTAAGAGCTTGGAGTGAAGTGTTTTAAGCCTAAAAAGGTAGAAAGTTCCAACCATGACTTACATATCCTGCAAAACTCTCATTCAAAATTGATCAGAACAGAGAAGCTGAGCTGGTCCCAGCACCCAGAAGGAAGCTCCCCTGCCGCCATTCCACGCTCCTAGAGCAGAGAAGCTGAGCCGGTCCCAGCACCTGGAAGGAAGCTCCCCCAACACCATCCCAAGGTCCTAGGGCAGAAAAGGTGAGTCTTTCCCAGCACCTGGAAGGAAGCTCCCCTGCCACCATCCCATGCTCCTAGGGCAGAGAAGGTGAGCTGGTCCCAGCACCCAGAAGGAAGCTCCCCCGCCGCCATCTCAAGCTCCTAGGGCAGAGAAGGTGAGCCGCTCAGACACAAGAAGCACCCCACCCCCAGTGGAAATGAGAAGACAGGTAAACAAGCCTCAAAAACAGACTTCAGGATCACCTACAACAACCCCAAAGGGAAACGAGATGGAACAATCTGATACTCAACTACCTGGACTCTCTGAACTGGCAACAAAAGAGGATCTGGGAAAAATGAAATAAGAAGTAATTACTCAGATAACAGCAAAGATTGTGCTCATGGTGCAAGACATGATTAATAAATCTAGAGAGGACACAGATAAAAAAATAGAGGATCTGAGG